ATGTGTTGTCTGTCCATACGTACATATTATACATATATTATACATTTAATATATCGGTGTATAATATATGTTTTCATTCATTCCGCAACATCCCAAGATCGGGATCGAATCTCTCGTACATATGCCCGTGCGTATGTAGATTGTGCACAGCATACGAAAAGGTTTTTAATTTAAATTTTCTGACGGTAGGTACATTCTTGCTGGACGCGTAATGAGTTTTGATCGATGATTTATAAGAGATGATTTAAAAGACAAATAAACATAGAATTTTTGAAATATCCTTTCTGTTTATTTTTTAAAAAGTATTTTTTAGAAATAGGATGTTGATTATTTTTATGTATTATTCTCATGAATTAGGTATGATATAAGAACATAAGAACTATCACAGAAATAATTTTGTATAAATTGTATATATCTAATATTACGATTGTGAGATTAATACTTTAAACTATTTATTTATTTTGCTTGCAAATAATTGTTTATAATTGTTTTAAGTTATAGAATTATAGAATCATTTATTTTTTGCATTTACAAAATTAATTTTTTACACACACACACACACACACACACACACACACAACATACACATATGCATACTAGTGGAATTTATTACAATAAACTATACTATTAACCGGAGTACTATACTATTAAGTAACCGGATTTGGGTTGTTTCCCAAATGAGCCACTCGTTGTTTGTCTATATAATTATATGATTAATTTAACAGATGATAGTAATAATTCGAATAGGCGATCCATACGACTCAATTGCATCGATTTATAAATAATTTTATTTATTCTGTTTATGTAAAAAAACAGAAAAAACTGATACGTCGTGGTTGTGATGTAATATTCCGTAAGTAAATAATTGTTTTCTATAATTACGAAAATGAGGTTATTAATTTTCATAGTTCATGTTATTGTAGCTTTATATTTATATTTTACAACACTATTTAGTTTATATTTTTGTCACAACATTTTAATTATAATTAAAGAAAAGGAACTCTTTGTGATAACTGCTACCAATGTGGGTCATGTCCGAGTACATGCATAAGTGCAACATTTGTCACAAATATGTTCATGAAGATTATGTGGGATTAACTAAAAATGATAAAGGGCCTTTTATATATACTTGCCCGAACTGCGAATAGATCCGTAAGTATAATTTTAAGAAGAAAAAGTTAACACAAATATTTAATGTTTAAGTTGCTAAATAGCTTTTTTTAAATGTTTGTATATTATGTATAATATGTTTATGTAATAAAGTCATAAAAGTAACGTTGGATCACTTTACTTTCCGTATTTTTAATATTTTTGTATGAAAAAGGAAAATTATATATGTGATTTATATATTGAGTACAAAGAGTGATCGCAAAAATTGCCCGTTTTTGAGTCCTTGATTTTGCGATTGAATTTTGAGTCCAATGGTATTTAATAATGAAACATTAATTACAGAGAAGTTTCAAGTTGAGGTGATAATTGTTTTCAGAACTGTGGGGTGGGCGAGAGTAGAATCAAAGTCCATTATCGAATTATCTTTATATGAGATCTGCGAAGTTCGATATTTTAAAAAACTTGATTCAGCCAATAAAGACAAGATCGTGATCGATCCAGCCGATGAAGACAAGGTCGCAGTCGATCCAACCAATGAAGACAAGATCGCATTTGCATAAAGAAGGCTCACTCCAGTCTGCCACACAGCTTACAGTGGCGAATACACTTTTGCAAAAGTCATTTACGTCTTACATTAATGACATTTTAAATTTAAAAAAATCGAATTTTCGCATATATGTAATAACACATGATCCCTCTCTCCTCCCTCCAGCTATGATAACAATTGTCACCTCAATCTGAAACTTCTTTGCAATTAATAATCTCATTGTAAAGTATTATTTCGCGTACAATTCAGAGGGCCTAAAAATAAAAGAAAAAAAAACCTCTTTTTTGAGGTTTTTGCTAACATGGCCCACATTATATTACTTTCTTTTTTAATCTTTACTGCATCTATATAAATACATAAATATGACTTACATTTTTTTTAATGTTTAGAAATGTTCCTTTTTTTGAATGTGACCATTGATTTTCAATTTTGAGAAAGAGAAACCTCAGCAAAAAATAAAAAAATTCTCAAAACTTGCCCGGCGGATGCTCGAATTGGGTCCAGTTGCTTTGTATGTATTGATAGCCAAAAATTATAAATGTATGATTTTATAGTCATAGAGAGACCAAAAATAATTTAATTCCTTTAGAAACAATTTTAACAATTTTAACAAATCATGTAGCCATGCTTTCCGTATTGCGTGTTTAAACATATGATATACTGACTTGAAGTTTGGTTACATGTAGTTATAGCTAAATAAAAACTGAAACAAAGGAAAAGAGAAATACAATAATAGTACAATAATAAAAATATAAAAATGCATTTGCCATTAGTAAAGAAATAATTTGAATAAAATTTGGACAGTACAAGTATATAATCATTTGTTAAGTATTATATATTATTAGATACGTGATCCAATATGGATATAAAATGAAAGATTTTTTCCGACTTTTCTCTCTTTCTCTCTCTCTCTCTCTCTCTCTCTCTCCCTCTGTTTTTTAATTGATATTGTTTAAATGTTATTATACTCGTGCCTACTCGCAGCTTATATATACATACTAACACGTATCAGTTTTTAATTTATTTAGGAAAACATAGATTAGATATTTCAAAAGTATATTTGATGACACAAAAAAGTTTAATTATAATTGTCATTATACTTCAATGAAATTTATTGCAACACTTGTACGTTTTGAAAATCTTGTAAATCTTGGATTTTTTCTTTTTTTTTGTCATTTATCCATTGTCTTATAAATAATGTTTGATTTTATCTTTTGCTTTATATCAAATTTTATGTCGCTGGTTTTATTTGCACAATAAATTTTTATACAAATAAAATTAGCGACACAAAATTTAACATATAACATAATAATTTCTAAAAAATTTTTTATAACGATTCACGAAACATATATTCTTCCGCTGCATACAATGTAAATAAAGAATACTAATGGTATTGATTACCTTGCAAACTATACCGTACATTTCTCCAAGAGATTATGACAGATTTTCGATTGAAAATATCTCTTTCCTGGAAGTCCATTAACATATGATACCGCTCCATACGTATTTATAAGTTTTTTCAGTACTGCGCAAGGTAAACAACACCGAAATTTTTGTTATTTTACGCAGTTATATGTTAAATGATGAAATCTAACTTCAGAATAAAGTTAAGCATATCATCACAAACATTTCGTGACCTTGTACAAGCGTTTTATTTATTTCCACGAATCAGACGTCATCTAATGGCTAATCCGGTTAATCCTGTTTCTTTGAAAATTACAGTTTTCAAGAATTTTTATATAAATAATATATAAATACGACATATGAAAGTACTAAGTCTTTATAGCAGTAGGTACTCATCTTTGCAGTGCAAAATACATATATTACGTTCAAAGAATTTGAACGTGAACAAAGAAATCAAAGAATCTGGGGCTATATTGAAATTAATAAATAGTGTATATCATCTTGTGTTAATGTAAGTATTTCAAAGAATTTTAAATAGTACTATAGTACTTATATACCTTATATAAGTACTATAGTCAATAACATAAAAAGATCATTATTGATCGTCTTGTCATTGCCGACTTGTAAGACGCAAAAAATTTAATACTTTAGCATATGAACTTATTTGACAGCATTTCATTAATTTATAATATTTCGAATTATATAAAGCATCCAAAATTTTAATTTATAAAATGACGTTTTAATGACTTTTTAAGTAGGAAAAATTGTTTCGTTTGTATTTACTGTTATCTTATCGCCAAGTGCAAAAGGAATATTTAATTGCAATTTTTACGCATATGAGAATATTCCAAATTATAATTTATATCAGCCACATGACCGTCAGGAAACACTGATCAAAACCGTATATCATTTTCTCGATTTTACAGCAAGGTTACATTTCTAACAGTGTAGAGAGATGGCAGCGTTGAGTATATAAGCCTGCTGTAAGACAATATCGCAGCATATTGCGTTTAAGATTACTACTTGACTACCACAATCATGGAGAACCCAAAAATCTATAGAGAATTTGACAAAGTACAAAAGATTAGAATATCATCTATAATCGAAGAGTTTGGCGAAGATTTAATGAATATACGTGGAAAGTGTATGGACATTGGCTGTGGTCCTGGAGATATAACAAAGGATTTTTTATTACCTTCTCTTGACTCAAATGCACAAATAATTGGTAAAAGAGTAATAAATTAAAGAAATATAATAGCAAAAATCGACGTTATAATTACATATTTAATTCAGTGCTTACATTTCATGAAGGTACGGATATTTCGGAGAGTATGATCAAATATGCGAATGAGACATTTAGTGACAAAAAACAACTTCAATTTGAAATATTGGATATTGAAATTAAAAATTTGCCTAAGAAATATATTTCTGAATTTGATCACATATTTTCGTTTCAAACTTTGCAATGGTGCAAGAACATTCGGTAAGCAATATAAAAAATTTTTATATAAGAGTGAATTAATTTTTTCTTCTAAACGTATTGTACGTGTGCGTGAATTTATTTTAGAATAAAACATATTCCAAATAAATTTATGCACACAATATTATTTTACATTTAACGTAATGTTGTTTATAAGTTTCTTGATATTTCTATATTATAATAATATAGTAACATTTAAAAGAATATGATCATAAAAAAGCAAAATATATGATTTTATCATATGTTTTGTATTTTTATATCGAGAAAAATATTTTTTAAAAATATATAATATTAATAAATGTTAAGAAATAATAATAAAAATAGGACCACAAGCCCAGCAAGGTCTACATGCTAATTTATTAAATCCAGTAAATAAAGTTTTATTATAATAAATATTTTGACGTCCGCATAGTTATAGGTAATTATCCAGATGTATTTGATTCTAGATCAATCAAGATCGGTTTAAATTTAAATTTGTATACAAGTCATTAACATTGAAATTCGATTGAAATCGAAATGTTTGTTAGAAAACTTTGTTTAATGTTTTTAAATTAGCATTTAGAACTTTGCTTGGCTCGTAGTCTTATTTTCATTATTATTTTTTAATTATTGAAGTATTGTACCTTTTTTAGTTTAATTATTAATAAATGTGTTCTTTAAAAATTAATTACACGTTTATCTGTTTTATTTCACAGACAAGCTTTCAAGAATATTTATCAAATGCTAAAACCTAATGCATCTATGCTTGTGTATATAATAGCATCTCATGATTTTTTTGAAGTTCTTAAATTATTGGAGCAAGACAGCCGCTTTGCACAATACATACCTGTAAATTATAATATACATATTAAATTATTAAGTAATATATTATTAAATTATAATTATTATGTGATTTACATTTTTACTATTTTTACTATTTTTATATATTTTATTACTTAATAACTTGTAAATTATGAATTATTAATAATTACTTTTCATGCAGAATTCGATGAAAAATATTTCGCCGTATCAAGATTCAAAAAATGCTCGCAAAGAATTACGGGAATTACTTCAAAGTATCGGCTTTACAGTTCATCATTGCAGTCTTCGAGAGGTGATATACTCTGACGAAAAATCGATGGTGCTGCAGTTTTTGAGTACGTTATTTTTTTTTAAATATGCAAAAAGTAATTTTATGTTATCATATTAGTAGTTCTTTAAGGAATATTTTTTACATAATTTTTATATATTTATGTATATTGTAATTTAACACTGATGACTAATTTTATACTTATACAGAGTGTGTCTGAAATAATGCTTACTAATCATATAGTACTATTTTTAATAAAAAACTGAATTGAATAGTCTTCTACCATTTTGCAATTTTCACAATAGTTAACAAGATATTAATTTCTACAGATTAAATATATGGATAAAATCGATGTATAAAACAATTTTAAGATATCTTTCAGTGTTCTTTGTAAAACATTTTGAAGATGCAATATAAAGGTTTAAATTACAATATAAGGCTGCATTGATAAACTCAATAATGATAATATAAGGAAATGCCTATGTAAGCCAGCACTAGATATTCATGTGTAATAACCACGGCAGTGTCGCTGTGCTTAGCGTCGACACTACCAGATATATATTTAAAAACAAAGAAATAGTTTAAACAAAATGATATGGATTTATTAAACTTCTTGTATCATGAGTTGGTTACGAAAGTTAAAGTTTCCTTGTTTTAAAATTCTAAGTATTTGTTAGTAATTTTATGTTTATATTTATTTTTATTTCTGTACTGTTGGTTGCGTTATTCTTATTGCGTTTTGATGCAACTCGCACTCGATAATGACATCTCTTTGTAACCGTTTTTGTAACAGATCATCGTTAATCTGGTTTTAATTTTTAGTTTATAAATTTTTAGAGAATTTGACTTATATAATTTTAAATTTTAATTATACCATTTTTTTACTCAATTTTATTGAAGTACATCTAACATGTCAGTTTATATATCCGACAAAATATAACAGACGATATAGAAGTTTTCAATTATTGATAATAGTGTAACAGTAACGATGATTTGATGACTTGGCGAGTAAATACATTATTTTATATCTCTATGGATGGTTATTAACATTTTTACATTGAAGAGGATCCAATACTAGGGTCAAAATGTCTGTATTAAAATTTTAAATATATGTATTATTATATACGAATATCTTGGCTCACATAGGTATTTCCTTACATTGTAATTTTTAAAATGTTTCTTAAAGATATCTTAAAGTTGTCTTATATGTCGATTTTAGACATTTTGTTCATGTATATATATATATATTTTTTTTTTTTAAATACGTTCGCTAATATGCCTCCTGACATTTATTAAAGACATGCCATATGACTTGATGAAAGATTTCAAGAACAAATTTGCATATGAATACATGAGAAGACAGATTTATTATAAATCAATATATAATGATCAAGAACTTGTATTAGATCGATGTAAAGTGTTAGTAGTTTATGCACAAAAGAGTGTATAACAATTACGTAAAGATAATCCATTACAAAATAAGACGTTTATGTATTGTAACATTATTTTTTAAACAGATTTCGCACAGATATGTATACTAATATCACAATATTAATACTAGTAATGAAAAAAAAATTTGTACTAATATCATAATATTAATACTAATAAATAGATAATAATTTATTGCGGAATAAATTATTAATAATTGGACTGAAATTATTAGAATAAGATGTGAATCTTACTTGTATATCTAAATTAATATTTGCTATATCATAAAATTAAAATTTTTAAGTATAAGACTTATATATAATAATCACGATATGTATGTGTTTTGTATCTTAATTAAATATTATTTAACAAAGTATTGCAAGAACTTTATTTTATAAAAACTTAATATCTATTTGCATATTTGTAAAACTAAAAATAATAATAAATCTGATACTTCAAAATGATTCTTTCAATTACTTGCGAATATAGATCTAAAATTTTTGTAAGAAACTTATTTAAACATATTCTATATAAATCTAAAAACGTATTTAATTGAACAGCTGCAAAATATACATTAGACATATTAGTACAAATTAAAAATTTATACTCTACTTTTTTAATTCAAAAACAATTATTTTATCAGTTTATTGATACTACAGTTAATTTTAAATGTTAAAAAGATATGCTTTAGAAATAAAGCATACATTATTATACAAATAAGATAATGAATAAAAGAAAAAATGAATAAAAGAAG